TTATTATGAGATTTGTGACAACTACAGAAATTGTGACAGGAAACCATCAGCGTTGCTGCCTGCTGTGTGCATCAAGCAAGTCCACAGCATATTCCTTACAGTTGGATTGAAACCTGAAAGTGAAATGAGGTCACTAGAGGAACCCAGGCCATGCTGGTGCTATTCCAAAAAAACCCCATGTAATTTAAAAAGGGCTGCAGGCAAAAAAGGCTCTTTGATTTCTCTTTAGAGAACAGTCTGGTATGAAAGCAGACTTCAGAGCTCTGGAATTTCTTCCCTTGCCCAAAATCAGACATCTTGCGAATGTTAAAGCAAATCACTTTTGCACCAGAATAGCCTTATGCTAAAGCTCGCATGCGCAGAGAAAGGGCTGGGAGGCTCGGCTCCCTCTTGGCCAGGCCCATTGAAAGGTCACATCTGCAATTGTTCTGTTGAAGACAGCAATAACGTTATTGAGACAGAGCAAGCAGCAGATAGCTGAGGCATGGTCACATTTCATAGTGTCATTTCCAATTTTGCAACAAGGCTGGGAAATACTGCATTATAGTCCAGTGTGCATTCAGTCTGAGTCAAAACTTATGTTTCAGAGATCAACTTTTATGTTCCTTAGCCCAAGAAAAAAAATTCAAGACCAAGAGAGATATTCAGTGTATGTCCACTGACACATTTATTGCCAGTCTATAGTGAAACATGAATGGTGACCAATAATAGAAAAAGCAAGAGGGATTTAGGGTCAAAGCGACCATAATATAAAAACGTTCAATTGACATCATTTTTTCCATGGGCTAATTAAAGACAAGCATTTATGCTAGTTGCTGCTCTAACTGGTTCCTAAAGAACATACCTAGCCACTGCACAAAAGATTTCACCATAGCCATGATGCTCTTGATGTCCCAGACGTATGAGTACATGTCATAGAGGATTGTCCGGTTGGCACAGTTGGAAAGACGAGTGAACATGCCCATCACCAAGCTACACATCTCTTCAAACTTGGCGGCTCGAGCACGCCATTCTTCAATCTAAGTAAAGATAAAAAGGAACAAATTTCATACAAACTGTATTTTCATGTTGCGGATGAAACTAGATGGATATTATGACAATACCTATTGACTTTTACATCTCTAGCCAGGATGACACACGAGTAGTGCACACATTCAAAGCATGAAGATACATTCAACAGCACAAGACACTCAACCACCAACCAGCCTACATGCATGATATTCTTAATTATCTACAGGCTAGGTTCAGCTCAGGGACTTCCAATGCAGTTGCTCATTATTTCTTTTGCTATTGTGCTTTTTTCAAATAGGAAATATGCACACCTACACCAAATGAAAACAATGCAGTCACAAACCTTTTCAGAGTCCTTTCCTTTACAATTCACACTAACAACACTGCTGTTTGCTCTGAGCCACTGGAACTCTCGTAACATTTGGGCCCCTTTGACTCCATGTTCATATGGAAGATAGAACAAGTCTGCAAGCAACTGTAGATCTTCTAGAGTTACTGGTTCTACTGCATATAACGGCTTCTCATGGGGACCAGGCACAAACTGCTCCTTGTTAGTTTGCTCATCTGTCTGCATAGGTGCAATATCACCACAATCATCCTGCATTGACATCTCTGGAGATTTTGATTCAGCTATGCTCTCTTTATCCGTATCCATTGGTTTTAACTCTTCTGACATTTTTGCTTCAGCAATGTCAGTCAATATTTGATTGATATTCTTGTCAGAATCCTCTTGCTTTTCCACTACCATGTCCATTGGCTCCTCATCCAGTTGCTTCTTTTCTTCCTCTTTGACCAGAACCTGTGATTCGTTGCTTAGTGCAGTTCCCTGGCTCATTATGGGTTCTTGGTAAACGGTAGTAATCACAGTGGTAGAATTTAAAGCGGACGGTGTAACCAGAGGCACATCCACAACACTTGTTTTAGCGCCACTATGGGCCACTTGTCTGCCTGCGGACAGAGCAGACAAAATTTAGTCATATCTACTCAGCTTTTTCATACAACCAAATTTCATACATATAATTAATTTGTGAACACACACACTCTCAGTCTTTGAATGACATACACATACATGCAAGTGTGTATTTTGCTGCAATTAGACATATATTGAAAAGGCACAACACTTGCGCATTTTCCTGAAATACATTTGCATGTACCAAAAATATGATGTGTAATTCAGAACAATCCCTTCAGATGAACAAATTATATTGGGTGCAATGCAATTCCACATATTTTCAATACAGTATTTTTGATAGTGTCCTCTCCCAACGAAGACAAATTGAGAACACCCCCACACCCGACACAGAATCTCTTACAAAGTACATTGCTTCAGGGAAATATACTTGTCACTCAGAAAGAGTCAGTTCCTTTAAAAAAATTTAAACAAAAACTGTTCCTGATGCATAATGAAACCGTAACAGCAGCAATCTTTTGAAGTATTTTATTCAGCAGATTTTTTTTACTGAACTCTAGAAAAACATTTTTGGTTTGAGTAACATTGTTCATTCACTCCAATATTGTAGGCAAGGCAAAACCAAAATTGCTTACTCACTGCTGTACTGATGAGGTACTGCAAATTCCTGTAGCCACTCTGTTAATGACAACTTCAAGGCCAATTGTGGGCTATAGAGAACATCTGTTTCAATATCTTCATCACTGCCTTCATTCTCCAGTTTAATCTGAATTGAAACAGTACTGTCTTCAGTGTCAGCTGCACAGATTATTAAGAAACAGAATATTAATTCAAGAGCAAGGTTCAAGGCTGCCATGTATTTGCATTTAAAGACAAAAGTACTAATTTATTAAGATGACATTTCCTGAAACTCCTTTCATCAAAGTGAAAATTTAAGATTATTAAATTATTAAGGTTATTACATTATTTCTAAAAGCATTGTTCCTAAGATAGTGACTGAGCACTTCTGATCAACTTACTCATCACAACATCTTTCCTCACTCCATTCATGTTGGATTTATACCAGGTTGCAAGGGTGTGAATAGCAACAAAGTTGGCTTCAAATTCACAATTTGGATTGGTCAGGACTCCCTTTAAGCGTGGGATGAGTTCCGTTGATCGACCTTTATATGGACCAAGAAACAGCCTTTTCTGATCATAGTCGTTGGCATGAATGTTGTCCCAGATGACCGGAGCTCTGCGAATTATCTTTGAAACCTCTTCAATGGACTCCACTGGAATGTCTTTAGATACCACTTTGGGACCTAAAATGTAGTTTCACAACTGACTCAGAATGAGTTTATTGATTAGCCATAGGCCAGGATGATAAAATTTAAGCAGCATACTAAAACATTTAATAAGAATGCTGAACTAAGTTGGCAATATCAACCTCAACAAAGCAAAATACTCACCTGTCCATAACACATCAATTCCAGGTAACAGCTTTTCCCCTACAGTTCGTAAATAAGGAGACTGAGCAACATTTGGATAGCAGAAAGTGCCACAGTATTCTGGAACAGAGAAAAATACAAGTTAAAACCCACTATCACATTTTGCTCTCTTGTGTGTGGCACTGCTAGATGATAATGGCAGTTCCCAATATCCTGCCTTGTCATTTCTGACAGATTTGCTTTCATGCAAAAAAAAAATTATTGCTAACTCTTGCAATGGTTGAGGTAGTGTTTAAATGTAAAGACAATAAATAAATAAATGTCACAACAACACAACTTTAGGGACTCCCACAGGAATCCGTAAACATTCTCAACAATGCAAGTGCCTTCCTAAATTCCAAAAGGCTCATTCCTGTTGTCCTCCAAGGCTTAAGGTATTAGGGACACTCTGACAGTTAAGAGGTTACTGGGACGCAATGATCTGATTGCTAGTACTTCTTTTAAAGGTGCTAGAGCTGATCCTGGCTACTGCTTATCAACTGGGATATGTTGCCGGTATCTCTTCTTGTTTCTTTTGATCACCTGTGTTTTGGGACTAACTGACTGATAACTGGGCAGAGGCTTGACAGTTCTGAGACTGCCATCTTCTCTAGACCTTTGTTCAGGTGTTTCCACAGTAGCTGGCCGTAAGCCCATTTTACTTCCATTCCCTCCCTGTCAAGTAGGGATTCTACCTCTTCCTTCCTTTTGGAATTGAGTAGGTTTGTCTCAGCTATGCATGCTCAAAAAGCTGAATCCAGAATTGCAGAAATTTATTCTTAAGAAGGCATGCCTGCCAAAACAAGCCTGGAACTCTGTTATTTTGCTACACGTGCAGGATTACATTTAAGCTCTGAAGTAAGTCTGAGAATCTCCAGTAAGGTTATCTTAATACCATACCTATGTACAACCTGGCAAGATTGAAAGCAGGGTATATCTACGCAATGAGCCTTTGGTTAGCTCAACATCATTGTTGGGGAATAGCCAAAAGTTGTTACAAGTACTTTGGCAAATAAAGTAATTCATGCACCAGACCCTGGGCAACAGAGAATATGTATGAACGTATGCCAAGGACACTTCACATAATGTAAGTACATAAAGGAAGGAAATGGCAAGGAAGGAAAGCCCCTCACAGAATTTTCTACGCTCTAGTTCCAAAACTAGAAATTTTAGGAGCTAGCCATTCCCCATGCGAATGTTATTCATTAGATTTCTCCACCCCCCCCCCGTATTTTCTTTTTAATTATTTATTCTTCTCTTGATACTCAGTGTATGTAATCCTTCATTGCACATAGTTCTAATCCGTTGATGAGGAAAGTCAGATTGGAAGTCACTTAGGAGTACAGTGAATACGTTGTGATTTCAGATAACACGTTGGATATCACGTTGGATACAATCAACAATAGCAAAACACAAATTACAACCAGCAATTGTTTGTTTCATGACAGCGCAAGTTAACCGTTCAACAGTTTTCCTCTACTTCCTCTTTCCAAGGTATTATTATTAAATTTATACACTGCCCTTCACCCAAAGATTTCAGAGTGATCACAACAACAAAAAATACTAAGACAAGAACCTGTTCATTGGCTCTGTATGCTGTGACTTTATAGGAGTGGGCCTTCCTGTATCTGATGAAGTGAGACCTGCTCTACAGAAGCTTATGCCACAATGTAAGTAATTTTTTTTAAACTGCTTTTTACTACAACGGACTAAGATGGCAAACCTGCTAGAATCCCACCCCCACCAAACTCCCGAAGAAAAAATATTCAGACAGTGTGAAAAAATATGCCACATACCTGCAACTAGAAGCCATAAATACGCACCCAGTTTACCATAGACTGCTATTAAATTTGTAACAAGTTCAAGTAAAGTGTGGCTAAGACAGAAAGGAGGGTTGTACCCAACTGTTTGAAGATGTTCAGGGTGCCTTTAAGGAATGGTGTCTAATCGGCAATTCTCTTCACCAACCCCTCCATCAGGAAAGGTTTGCCTTGAGAGGAAGGGGACAAGAACAGAAGGCTTTTTGACCTCATTCTTGTTAAAATGCAGTATCTGCATTGTCGCTTTACCTGTGGGACAGAACAGGAATGTTTCTGGCTCTCCTAGATACTGGAAGATTTCATTAGTGATTGAGATCTGGGCATGTGCAAAGGAACTGAACACTTCTTTGTCGGCTGCACACATATTGTGATCGATATCATCAAATAACAGTGCAAAAGACCTGCAGCCAAACTGAGAAACCTAGCAGGATAAAGAAGAAAAAATATTAACACTTGTTAATATTGTACAAGATAAAAGCTAGGGAATATAACCCCACCTAGAGTGCAACACAGGTAGGGGCATATTTCCTTTATCCAGTGCTTTTGCAATTTCTCATTTATGTTTAAAATTATAATATATATAAATATAAGATACCTGGTCCAGCTTGCGTTTCAATGTAGAAACTTCTTTTGGGTTTGAGAAGGTAATATCGAGTCCAGGAGAGATAGCATAGATAAATTCTATCCCATATTCTTGAGCAGCCGCGATGAGAGTCATGAGCTGCTCTAGAAATCAAAACCAACTATTTTAGCAACAAGCAACTATGAAGTTAAGGCATTTCATTAATCAGAATACATTTCAATATGTGCAGGCAAAAAATATTTTTAAGGGGCAAGGAAATATGAATAATTTACATTTTTTTGTCAAAACATACTCAGTCCTCCATCTGATTCATTCATACACACACACACATGGTAAAATGTGGGGAAACTGGGATCTGTTTTCAAGTAAGCATGTACAGGATCAAGTTGCACATGTCAATTTGGAACAAAGGATTCCTTCTGTCTTTGACATTAAAATATTCACTACAATTATTTATATTCCACCTTTCAGGATACAAATATTTTCAAAGTGGCATATAATGAAATATATTTTTAATATTGTTGTTGTATCATTAATGTAACTTTCTCATCAAAAGCCTCTTCACAGGCTACTTAGGGGGCAGGAGCAATTCTGGCTGGAGCAGGCTCTGGTGTCTTTGCTAGCCAACCTCTCTCTTCTGGAATCTGTCCCACAGGACTCTAGGTGGTAGATGACACTGTAGAAAGGGAAGTGGCAGTCCAGCTGGAACAGAAATGGATTTGCAACGTGTGGTTCACAAAAATGCTGGTGCAAATGTAATGCTGCACCACAGCTTGCTCTGAAAATGAAAGAATTGGAGGAACTGATGATGAGCTAGTTGGGAAAAATGCTGAGCATATGAACCAGGGTTAGGAGAGAAAAGACTGTGCTATATGTGTACCAGGCTGATATAATAGGTAACTAAGTCAGTTAGGAGCACAGGCATTGTTCTCTCCTCCATTAATGAAGCATTGTGGGTTGTCATGGTTGAATAAGTCTTCTTTCTCCCTAGCATTAAGGCAAAGAGATCATCCCATGGCATCATTCAAGGTGTTATAATGCAGCAACCTTGTTAAAGCTGAGCAAGTCCGGCTATGGCCAGTGTCTGGATGGAAGGACCACCTGAGAAGCCTATGTACGCTGTCTTGAGTTCCATGACTGGAGTGTTGGGTTGGGGAGGATATTAAAAAATTATGTGTGTGTACTTTAACAGAACACTGATTTTCTCTCATCCAGCTAGGCAGGAAAGCCTCTAAGAGTTATTTAATGCATCTTTTAATTAAAGCAACAAAAAGCTTACCCCTCTCAACTTCACTTTTAATTTACCATCCAAATGTGGAAATAACTGTAACTCAATGAATATATATATTTAAAAATGCAATAAAGTTAATTACCAGCTTCCTCCACAGAATACATTTCTCGCCAAAACATCCTGTGCTTGTAATCATCTTTTGGTGCATATAGGTATGCATTCAGTCCCCATTTCTGAAGTCTACAAAGCAAAATTAAAATGTTGTTTGAAATACATTGGAAACTGGAGGACACTATTCATTTTCTTAACTTAAAAACACTGCTCAGAGCTTTTGAAATATTAAGTGGTATATAAATGCTTTTTGCTGGATTCTGCTTATTTATTTTATTAATATTGTTGATATTGTTTACATGTTGTACTGATTTGTTAATCATATATGACTTTTGCTTTAATTGTGATGTTTAGCTTATTAGTTGTTGCTTTGTTAACAGTGTTTTATATATAGCAATTGTTTTGCTGATGATTTGTTAATTACTTTATATGATTTATACTGCATCTGTATTGTTTTATCACACTGTTATTAACTGAAGCCACTTTGGGATTCATTTGAATGAAAAGCGGCATAGAAATTGAATTTCAGAGGTTTGATTTGATTTATTATGAGTTAGCTTAGAACAGTCACTGAAAGCAAAAACCACTCAATTTTCTATGACCTTTTGGCTCCTCCTCTCCTCCCATACTTTAGTTTTCAGAACCTATGCCTTAATTCTGCACTAAACAAATTCTTTATTTTTACGACTAATTGTTTTTTTTTTTTATTTATTTATTTATTTATTTATTTATTTACATACTTACTGTATTTTGTATACCACCCTATACCCAAAGGACTCAGGGCAGTTCACAAAAATATCAAATACATAAAATCAAAACAAAAACAATGACCCAATAACCCCCCCCCAAAAAAAATTATGTATTAGAATGCTACAGTACACAATGGCACATACCTTCTAAAAAGCTCTTTTCTCTGTTCCATAACCCAAGGCCTTCCATAAAATCCTGTGGGAAATATTGATGGTAGACAGTTTCAAATATTGTGCTGCTTCTTAACAAAATATCAAGTGCAACATCTGAGCCATAATAAACTAATAATTATTAGTTTAATAATTCATTATACAAATTTGTTAAGCAACTTTAATTAGGGCACAGTAAGAACTAAAGAGGTAAACTTGTACAAGTTAGCTGTCAAAAGCTGCATCTAGTGGGTTTGAAATAAATAGGGCTCAGTTGTTCCTTTAAGTAGTGCCTGAAGCGCTACATATAAACAAGTACAGCAGTGTAAAATGCTGCGAGATCAAACCTGTATGCATGATAAATGTTGGAACTTATGTCCTGTTTAGCACTACTGGAATGCATTTCTTGGAGCAAAGTATGACCTTCTGAAAATCTGTTCTAATGTACACTCAGTTCATTTCCCTGATGTGAACGAGGCCTGTCATCATAGTGACTATGACACAAGCCGCCTTTCCAAATCTGTTACCAATGGAATCCATGCACCTGGGTAACTCACAGAAAAATGCACACAGGTCCTGAACGTTACATCTCTGCAAGTGCCCATCCGCAAACAGCCAATTCAAAATCATGTTATTCCAGTAACATGGGGAGAGGGACAAGGGGAGAGGCAGGGTCCTGGCAACCACAAGTTTTTACAAGGCTACTAGCCCAGTCAAAAATAATAGCCTCCTGAGCTCACATTTTTTAAATCCCAACTTAAGCCCTGAAGCAAAGCATTAAATCAGAAGTGGAGCTAGAGTGTTTTAAAACATGATTGTAAGGAGGGTAAGAATGAACCCTTCCCCAACAGTGTCTGCAAAAATACTCAGACAACTGCCAGCGTGGGAAGCTGTTATGCTCTTCTCCGGTTGCCAAAACCATCAATATGGCAGTTTTCATTACAAGCTTCTCACTCCAGGAACAAAGGGTTTGGGGGAGTTATGTCTTGTGCCTGGCTGTACTTTCACAAAAGTGCAAACATGACTGGCATGAGACAATATATACACCTTGTAATAGAAGTTGTTATTTAGAAGAGGCATTTTGCATATACACAAATCATGACTGATTTAATAAACCTATTTAATTCCTGACAACATCTGGTAGCCATCTGAGTTCTCAATTCTCCCACAAAAACTCCACACAAAGTAGGCACACATACAGATAGTGTGTATATCAAGGGATAGCCAATGTGATACCTTTCAGATGTCATGAAGTACAATACCCATCAGTCGCAGCCAGCATAGCCAATAGTCAAGGATGATGGGAATTTCAGTCTAAAATTTCTGGAGGGCAACACATTAGCTACCCCTTTTCTATATTAAGCAAGCTGGAAATAAACCTCCTTTTCCATATTGAGATCTCATCAAAACCACAAACCTACAACATGCCACAGAAAAAAATCATGTAACACCACAGCTAACAACACCTACTGTGTGAGTGGAAAAAACCCACCAACATTTAGATTTAGGCTGATATTCATAGCTTAAATCTATGCTAGATCAAAATTAATGCATGCTCCTCTACCGCCAACTGTGAACAAGATTATATCTTCAAGCTGAAGGAACACGCCTTTCATAAGCCTGCAGGTCCACCTCTCCAGATTCAGAGGGAGCCAACATGATACCTTACAGGTTACATAAGAGCTTGCTAGATCAGACCATTTAGTCCATCCTACTGTTCTCACAGCGACAAACCAGATGCCTATAGGAAACCCAGAAGCAGGACCCAAGAGCAAGAGCACTTATCCCTCTTGCAGTTTCCAGCAAACAGTCTGAAGCATATGCCTCCAATAATGGAGGCAAAACATAGCCATCATGGATCACAGCCACTGATAGCCTTGTCCTTCATTAATCTGTCTAATTCTCTTTTAAAGCCATCAAAGTTGGTGGCCATTATTGCCTCCTATGGGAGCAAATTCCATAGTTCAACTATGCACTGTGTGTACTGTATTTTTCCATCTATAAGACACCCCCATGTATAAGACTATTTTGGGGACCCAGATTTAAGAAAATGGGGGAAGATGTATCTGTGTATAAGACGACCCCTAATTTTTGACATTATTTTAAAGGAAAAATACGTAGTCTTATACATGGAAAAATACTGTACTTTCTTTTGACTGTCTTAAATCTCCCAATGTTCAGCTTCATTGGATGTTCACTAGTACTAGTAGTATAAGGGAGAAAAACTTGTCTATCCACTTTCTCCAAATCACAGATAGTTTATACAATTTTATGCTCTTATTCACCTTTTCTCTGAACTAGAAGTCCCAAATGTTGTATGCTTTCCTCAAAGGGGAGTTTCCCAACCCCTTTGATTATTTTGGATGACCTTTTATGAAACTTTCTCAACTCTGCAATATCCTTTCTGAGGTGAAGTGACCTGAACTGTATTCAGTATCCCTAAAGCTGTTGCACACTGATTTGTATAACAGCATTATGATATCAGCCGTTGTATTTAAAATCCCTTCCAAATGATCCCTAGCATGGAATTTGCATTTTTCACAGTTGCTGCACAATGGGCTGAGATCTTCACTGAGCTATCCACTATGACCCCAAGGTCTTGTTGCTGGTCACTCCCTGCCAGTCAAGACCCCATGAGCATTATTTGGGACATATCTCCCATGACAGCCTGCCAACGACCATACTGTCTAGGGCTGGTGAGAATCTAACAACTTGGGGGGGGCAGGCTACAGGTTCCCACCCCTAGTCTAGGCAGCAGCATAACACTGGTACTTGAAGAACCAACCAGTAAGAATAAACACCTCAGTGTTTTTCTTTCTTTCTGTGGCAATGAAAAAACACAGGAAGAAAACAAACCTACTACCACTATCCATTCCAGAACACTAGCGGAACTGTAACCCTATCAGCAACCTGGTTACTCCAAACACGGAAAAACCTTGGGGCACAAGAAAGCGGCTAGTTTTCAACTGTGTCCGTGACATAGCTGTCAACTTTTCCCTTTTCTTGCGAGGAATCCTATTCTTAGTAAGGGAATTTCCCTTTTAAAAAAGGGAAACCTTGACAGCTATGGTCCGTGAACTGTTTTTGTTTTGTTGCACGTTTCGTAACGTTTTTACAGTGTGTGCACTCACGTGAACGGAAGAACCAACATGTGGCTCGGAAGTTTGCAGCATTTAAATTCAGCGAACTGGAAGGCAGATGCACTGAAAAGGGCAGCTTCGTCTTTACCGCAGACGAGAGCAAACGGTTTTAACCCTCCGCCGCCAGGTTTCATTCCCAGGGCGGAGCCAGAGGAAAATGGAGCGGGGAGGAGGAGACGGCGCTGGAGGGAGAGGCGGGGATGCTTTGTTCCGGCTACGGCCTCTCCTCCTCGCTCTCGACCGCGAATTCGCACGGCCCCGCAGCCCCTCGCTCTCCCCTTACCTTCGACGACGCCGCAGAGGAACCGCCGAAGGCCCCCGTTGCCCACAGCTCCGGAGCCGCTGTCGGGATCCGCTTCGGGGCCCGCCGGGTCGGGTCTCGCCGGGGACGCCTCGGTGGGCGAGGCGACGGCAGCCCCAGGGCTGGGGCCAGGTGTGCTTTGAGGCTCCCCCCGCGCCTCGTCGACCATCCCCGCCAGGCCTGCTCCGGGACTCCCGTCCGCCGCCATCGCCCTTCCCTGCGCTCTAACCGGGGCGGGCTGCGCTTGCGCGGGGAAAACCAGCCCCAACCGGTCCGAGCCGGAACCAACCGCCCTGCTCGCTCGACTGCCAACCGGGGCCGCTGCTGCTGATCACGTGCGGCTCCACCTCCTTCCCACCGCGCGCCAGGCGAAGGGAGCAGGGGCGAGCAGTCCAACAAAGCAGCTGCTTGAGCGAACGAAAAGGACGTGGGGGAAGGGTGGCTGAGAAAACTACCTAACCGCGCAGGCGCGAGGGACAGGCAGGGCATTTACTGCGCATGTCTCGCGGGGGTCGGCGGGGGAGGGGCGTGTCAATGCGCACGCGCGAAAACGAAATCGCGGCCCACTGCGCAGGCGAGCAACGGCAGCTCTGAGCAGCGGCCTTGGAGCGCATGCGTAGGTACTGAACGGACCCCGTAGGAGGCTACTGCGCACGCGGGAGGGGAAATAAACAAAGTAGCGGGGTGAAGGCGCAAGCGCAGAGCGTAGCCACGGGGGGGGTTGTTTGATTAAACGCTGCGCAAGGGGCGGAGTCTTGCGTAGGCGCACGAAAGCGGTCGGCTTCTCAACCGCCGACTTTCCGCCTCGTTGCACATCTGTGGAGGAGGAGGAGCTTGTGGTCCGCTGCCTTGAGGTTTGACCTACTTTTCTAGGCTGGGGCCTCCGTAGACCTGAGGGGTAGCTAACTGGGCGCGCCTCAGAGCACGCTTCTCACCTCTGGGGAGAGGCCGGCTGCAGAAATAGCGAACCAAGGCGGACTTGGAGCGCGGTCACCTGGCTTCAAATTCCCGCTCAGGCACGAAGCTCACTCGGTGACATTCCTAGTCACTCTCGCAGCCTAGCCTACCTCACAGGGTTGTTCTGGCGGCTCCCCCCCCCCCAGTGTGTGTGAGGCTTTGAGTTGTCCAAACTCCTTGGCTAAAAAGCTGGATAAAAATGAAGTAAATAACGAACAGGGAAAGGGCTGCAAGCTCATTGGCAGAGTACACGGTTTGTAGGCATATCGTTCCATTTCTGACACCGACAGGCTGGGCTGGGAAAGGCGTCTGTTTGAAACCCTGTAGAACCCTAACCCCTCTTAAAAGGAAGTGGACCAGTGGACTCCTGGGTTGCTCCTGGAAAAGTCCTGCCCGTTTCCAGTGGGTGAACAATAATCTCCAGTGTCGGTAGATGTGCTTGACTGACGTATTCCCTTGGTTACCCTGTTTCGCTTTTGAAAAAATGCCACCTCTCTGGCAGAGCAGGGTGCACCCGATGCAGGTGAAGCCAGGACAGAGTCTGGTGAGTGAGAGGACAAGATGGGTGAGGGGAGGAGCCAGGACAGAATCTGGCATGTTTTGGACCGAGCTGGTCTTTTGCTAGCTTTTCAGGGTTGCTTACTTGGCAAGAGTACAGCTTTATATTTGGACTAGTAACAGTGGTCTGTTGACAAACCTTACTGAGGAAAGATTGCTGCTTTCCTGTACAATTGTCATTGCTTTATTTGCATATGTAACACTTTTACGTTGCCCAACACTAAGTGCTAATAGTGAAAGGATAATACAAAATCTAGTTTCTTTTTTGAGGAGCAGACACATAAAAATTATCTTAGCGGGGAAAAGTTTAGGTCCCACATTTTTGCTGTGCCTGCTCTGGTGCCGTTCGGTGATAATACAGAAATTGTACAGGCAAAGCATTGTTTCTAGGAAAGCTTTACCTACTAAATTTCCATGTAGCAGGCTTCTTTTAATTTTTAGTCATTTAAAAAAATTGAATTGACTACAAATACTTAGGATGGTCTAGAATTTCATAGGGGTGTGATTTAAAATCTATTTTGCTGTTGCTTTATTTTATGTCTGCTTGGCTTTAACATTTTCATATTGTTAAATAATAAATACTTGCATCCTGTTTGCTTTTTTCTATGTATCATTGTAGGCTTCAGATAGGGTTGATCGTAATCTGATGTGTAGAAACAAGCAACTTCATCAAAAGATCAAAAGTTTCTGTGATGGTGAGGCTTTTTGTCTCAGAAATAAAAGAAAAACCTGTGTTACAATTGAGATGACATCTGATTGATGCTGTTCGCTTTGACTAGCCACATTCTTTTCTCCACTTGCACTAGAGTTGTTGGTACTTTGGGCAGCTTCTCTGTGTTAGTACCAAACACACCACATCATCAATGACTTCTGTTCCTCAAAAGTATGAGCCTCTTTAATTTGGAGCTGCTTTATTCTCTTCTTGGAAAATGACTCCTCACATCATAGGGCAAGGATGGGGAACCTGTGGCTTTCCAGATATTGTTGGACTATAGCTCTCATCCCTGACCACTAGCCATGATGACTGGAGCTGATGGAAGTTGGAGTTCAGCAATATCTGCAGAGGCACAGCTTCCCCATCCATGGTATAGTGAGTTATGTGACTACCCATTTCAACTTTCTGCTGAGTTCTTAGTATGCAAGGAGGAGGAGTAGTGAATGTTATAGGGTGATGCTGTTGCATCCATTTGTCACTAGATGGCACTCTGCTTATAGATTTGTGTTTTAGGACCCTTGCTCTTTCAGGATCATAAGGGTGCAAGAGGTGGGGAGAGGCAAATCTCTCCATTTTGCAACCTTCCCCACCCCAGAGGTGGCATGACCAGTCCTCCAAAAGCTGCAGCATTGACCTTGGCAGGCCACAGATGCATTTTTTGTGAAATAGTAGAACTGATGGACATCCAATGAAACTGAATGTTGGAAGATTCAGGGCAGATAAAATAACACTTCATGCTTAGTTCAAGCATAGTTAAACTATAGAATTTGCTCCTATAGGAGGCTATGTTGGCCACCAACTTGGATGCCTTTAAAGGAGGATTAGACAAATTTATGGAGGATAATGTTGGAGGAAATGGACATGAAGGCATTAATTTATTTCATGGCCAAAATCACCCCATGTCTGAGATAAGCCAACAGATGCAAGGTCAGCAAAGCCGGTTGCTGTGGCCCAGTGTTGTGTGTGTGTGTGTGTGTGTGTTTGATTAAGGCATGTTAGCTCATCAGTCAGTTGATGAGTCTGTGTCTATGTCTTGAATTGCTGGAGCAACATAGATATTTTCTACTTGTATGTATCTGTATTTGCAAAGCTTACAAGCTGCATGCATATGTCAACATCTGGAACTGTATTACTGAGGCCTGATCTTTTGCAGCAGTAAACTGTTTTGGACCTTAATCTGCCTCTGTGTAGTGACTGGAACTGGGAGAAAGTTACACTGCATGGGTATCTCACCTCAGATTCCCAACTGCGGGGGGGGGGGCAATCTTGCAGCACCTAACTTGGGAGAGCCTGATGCTACACTAGGTATAAAATCAGGGCCAGCTCCCTACCCAGACTTTGATACTGTTTTGATTGCTTCATTTGTCCTCATTTTATTCTTGGAAAATCAATGCCTCTAGCAACTTTTAAGGAGGGTTCTCTTTATGTGGCATCTGTACAGCTGACCAGAAGCAAGTTTGCTGCACTTTTGAAGGAAGACTTCAGATCCCATTTGCAATGAAGAGTCTGAATACTTCATATTGACACAGAGATGAACCACAGCAGATGTTTCAGTAGTAGTTGCACATATGAAGGTACAGCCCCTGCTAGCCTTAACAGTAATATCAAGAGTAAAAGGGAGGCACACACAACCCATTTGAATGCAGTACCCAGCACTTCCCTGTGAAGATATGTGGGAAAGCAAACAGCAGCAGAGGCTGTGGTGTTTGTGCATAGCCATTGTGGTTGCATTTTATTGTCATACTTGATCTTTATTATTATACAAAATATACAGAGTTGAAAATGCAAAGCTGATAGCAGAGCTCAATGTGCCCCACTAGTGCAGTGGGAATGGGCCATCTGGCCCTGATTTAGTGATTGTAGTGAGAGCACAGGTAGAAATATGCAGCTGGCGTATAGGTGAGGAGTGGAGCAGTGGCCCCACCCACATAGGGATTGCCATCAGGTTAGGAGTATCAACAGACAGGATGAAGATGTTTCAAACAAAAGAACAATCTGCAAGGAGATGAGTGATGGGTCAGGATATGGGCTTTGCAAAATCAGAGAATGATTCTAAATAGAACCAATGTAACGCTGAATGAAAAGGTCATGTCCTCCTACTTTATGTTCATTATTTTAGAATAACCTGGTTTCTGTAATGCTCTTAATTAGATTGAAATCCCCACTTTACCCATAAACATGCATTAAAAGAGTGATGGTGGGTAAATTCACCATCTTCTCTCTCTGACCACCCTTACTACAAATGTGACAGTTTAGTTAAAGGGTGTCAGAAGGACAAATTCTCTGTATTAAATGGATGTTGAGTATGCAGCCTAAGACATACTTTTCAAATGCAAAATCCCCTGCAATAGTGAAGTACTTTGTCAGAAAGGGAATAAAAGCCCTTTTTAAAGGTGAGTATATCTGGGCTGGTGGAAGATCACTGTGTATGGGGAAGTAATCTATGTGGTGTTTCTTTACTCTCAACTCCCCACCATAGTTTCTAATGGAGCTATGGCTGTATCTGATAACAGACACAGTGAAAAGTGGGAAAGGCTATCAATATTTCACGGGAGTGGGCCACAGCTGCATTTTGAAGACTAATCTTGAATGCAGCTATCTCTGGAAGCAAGGAATTCTGCCTAAACCTGGAAAAGACAGACCGTATCAGGCTGGATGGACCATTGGCCTAACACGGTATAAAGCACCTCCTTTTATAATTTACTTGGGCTCACCAGCACCCATCTTTATTTGGTAGCTGACAGTATGAGGAAATATGCTCTTGGCCCTTCTTGAAAATGCAGCCCCAGAAGCCAGCCTGTAGCTGAGAGCAGGATAGTCTTGAGTCTGGACTAATTGTAATTCCCAGTTCTGATTACAGCACTTTCCACCCTGACTTGCTTGTAACCAGGAAGGCATTTGAATTGTCACCTCTGTTCTTGAAGAACAACTCTGGGTTCTTAGTAAAGTGAGACAATCACTTCTGCTAGAGTGTTCCAGCATAAAGACCCATCAGGAAAAGCACAGGGCTACTTTAGACACACTTGGAAGTGGCAGTGTTATAAGGGTAGTGCTAACTTTGCATACCAGCCAGGTACTTGTTCATCTTTGATGAGGGTAGTTCCCTCAGCAGTGGCCAGCTGTCAGCCATGTGGCTTGCATCCCATCCACAGCTAACAGAGCCAGTTTAAATATCATGGCTGCTTCATGCAGTGACCGTAAAGTGTGGATTTCCCCGGATGTGTGTGAAGTTTCTACATCACCACAAGATATTCCTAGCAATGGCAGCATGGGAATTTTCTGTACAAGGGAAAGTGATCTACCATACACATTATGGCCATATCAATGATTTCAGGATGGCAATTAGAACATGCTCTGGTGTCAGACATACACATATACCACAGTAGGCAACTTTTATACTGGAAGCTGCCCTGTGAGCAATTGCAGGGTAGCAGAGCACTACTATACTATTCTGACTGGTTATGAATAGCCACGGAGGGTAGTTTGGGTGTGACTCTTCTCTTCCCCTCCTCCCCCCTCCAACTTCTCCTATAGGCCTTAAGGGGTAAGAAACACTAGTGTAAACCCTTAAGTTTGAGATAAGCCAGATAGGATGGTACTGGTGAGGAATGAGGATGGGAGAGATGCAGGAGAAAGGAAACTGTTGTGTTGTGCACAGAATCAGGCTTTCTTGGATGGAAGATGGGAGTGCAAGATGGTAGGAGGATGTTTGTGATTAGAAATTGTTTCATTGAAGAGAATGCATGTGTGGAAGGGACAGGCTTGGGGAGGGTTATACAGGGATGGGATTGTTAAAATCATTTTGAGGCATGGGGAGGAGAAACTAAGCCAAGGTAAATGAACTTTAAAAACATAGTGTGGTTATGGGTCCAGGCATTGTACAAATTTAAATAAAAGTAACCACCATGTAGATGCCAAACTGTTCCCAATCTCTAAGATCTGATCCTTAGCAGAAAACACATCTGAACTACACAAAGAGGGACCCTTAAGCGCTGGCATGATGGGTTGGCAAGAACTGAAATGGCAGCCTCAGGAAGGAGAAGAGCCAAAGCTGGGCTCCAGTGCACATGGAAGTCTGTTTGCATAGCTAAAAATCCTGAGTTGGCCAGTTCCAATTCCTGTCCTTCACACACTCTTGAATGATACATTCCACTTTCAGACCACAGAACAAAGAAACTCATTTCTGTGGGTCTTTGAATCTTGCTCTAGACTGCCAAGTGCCTAAGTGCTTACTCAAGATTGCAACTGTAGTCTGAGATGGGAGCTAAAGTATAGGGTTGGTTGTTAGGGTGCAGGAACAATAACTGAGATGAGCCTGAGCGGAGTTAAGTGCTGGGATAAAACTAGGGCTGTGGGTAAGATATTAAGAACATTGGTAGAACTAGCTTGTGTACTGAAGAGGATGCTAGGCAGGGCCAGGATAGAGGGTGCTCATCTCTGCCATCTAGATATTGCCTGCTGTTGAGTACCTCAGCCTCTGGCTCGCTAACTCTTCCCTCACTTTTCTGCCTTCGTTGGGATACAGTACCTGTTTGTGTGGCCAAAAAACCCCCAAACCTATTCAGTATCATCCTTGTCTCTTTCCTATACTTTGCCTTAATCTGAGTGGTCTTGTCATACTAGAATCAGCTTCAAGATTCTAGCTCTTTTTAAGCCCTTAATATCTCTGTTACAGGAAGTTTCTCTTTCTTTGTCTTTGTTTATTTTCCATGTTGGCCTCTGCAGTTTGCACAATTCCTCTTTCATCAGTTTTCGTCTCCTATATTGCCATGCCACTCTTTCCTCCATGCATCAAACAGCTTATTCCAATTTGAGCCCTTCCACAAGACCTACATTTTCAGCTTCTCTGGCTAGTCCACTCCCGCTGCTCATTATGAATCTCTGACCCATTACAGTATCCTTGTCCTGGCCAGCTAGTGTGATCTGTAAGCCCTCTACATAGGTACAGTGTTGCCGTTGTGCTCTGTTCAGAACCTGGCACTCTGTTGGAGATTCATAAACACTCTGAAGATGCTGGTTGCCCATACTGTTTCTGCTTCTGAATGACCCAAGGGCTTATTTGTAATAAAACATGAAAAGCGGGTAAGCATCACAGAGAGATGAGCAGCAGCTAAAGAGATAGTTGGCACAGGGAAGAAACAGCAAAGCTCTCCCCACCCTCTAATGTGATTCCTAGGATTTTCTTTTATCTACTCTCACACATGCCCTCTTCCATTCACCATGATCACTGTAAGTCAAGGAGCTATGTCGTGTTTTTATCTTTCAGTGAATTTAGTTCAAGGACAAAACATACCCTTGTTGATGCCAGACTGTCACCCGTAAACCTTAGCTGAACCCTGAGTTTCTTCTCACTGAAGGATGTCTGAGCTCTTGACACCTACTTTCTGTATGGCCGTCAGTTGTTGGAGCTGCGTACCAGATAGTATTATCATTATCTCAGGCCACATAGAGACCCTGCCCAGTGAGACCACAGAGATTCCATCCTCACTTAAATGTTTCTAGTGATATGTCCTCACCACTTCTACCCCTGTTTTCATGACAGTTTATGGGGGGGGGGAATGCAAGGAAAAGCTCTGATCAAGCTTAGTGTACTTTCTTGCCATGGGAATCCAAGCATAATTCACCCCTCCTCCTGATCTGTAAATGAAAGCTAAAGGTTGTGTTGTACCTGCCTCTTGTGAGTGGCACACAGTTTTCATTCCCTGTTGAGGATGCAAAGAAAAGAAACCACAAAGCAAAATCCCACTCACTCTCTATTTCTTTGCCTCAGCTCTCCCCCAGAGTTTAGTGCCAGGATTGCAAGTTACCTTGGCACTGGGAAATTTATCCCCCAATTGGAAGCCTCAGGGTATTGCAGTGAGAGCCTTGGTGTAAATTAGATGGAGTCCACTCCTTATAGGCAGTGGGTAAGATTGCACACACACAAAATCCTTTGAAAGTCCTTGGCAATCACCTGTTGCACTGCCGTTTGGTGGTGTGAAACCTGCTTGGAACCCCAGTGAAGGGTTGGGGGTTGCTGTGATTTGGAAGGCCCTAAAGGGTGGGCATACTACTTGGTGACAGGGCAGTGCAGCTTCCAAGGGGAGGCAGCAGATTGATCCGGGTTTTTTTTTCTTTTCAATGCCCAGAGGAAGTGCTTGTGGATGTCAGGCTGTTCCCCCTGCTGGGCCTTGGTCCAACCCAGCCAAAGGCTCCCTCCCACCCCCATGGTTCCCATTGCAGGGACTTTCCCCCAGTTGCATCTCGAATACATGGTCTCCAGAAATGTCTCCCAGTCCAGCATGGACAAGGGGCTGCTTTGTCCATACAGGCAAGAGAAGAATGCCTCAGAGGGATACACCAAGAAGAGAAGCCCCAGGAGTGTGTGTGAAGGTCTGGGCTCCAGTAGTGGCCCACTAGATCACATTGTCAAAGAGCTTCATGGAACTCATGATGTTTTCATCCTGCCAAAGAAAAGAGGACAAATTAGAATAATTAAGAAGTCCTAGAACTAATTATCAGCTTTGACTCCCTCCGCCCCCGCAAAACATATAGGGGGTGTAAAGGACCTTTTCAACCCCCACCCCCTTTTTATGCATGGCAGAAAAATAGCAGTGGTCTGTACCCACTGACAGTAATGTAATATCCCCACCCTTCTCTAACAGGGGTATGCTACCTTCTGGCAGGACTCAATGAATTCCTCAATAGTCACCACTCCATCCTTGTTCCGATCCATTTTCTGAAATGCAAGAACCAGGGATATGAGAATTAAAGGCAAAGTAACATCTGTTTCCTAGGAGCAGCTTCAGGCACACTACAACACCCACAGCCAGGAAGGACATTCTTGAGGCAGACCTGGTCAGGGAACCTGTCAGCTTCTAGGTAGCTTCAAAGGCATTTCTGGCAGAGAATGGCCCCCTACCTCACTAATGACATCTTGCAAGCATCCAAGGAAACAGCAGTGGGCTGGTGCTGCAAACAGGTCCACTACTATGATCATAGCAGTAAGAGATGGGAGATGCTGCCTCTACTGGAAAGAGGAAGGAAGAGTGCCCATTGGGAAAGCTTAAAGTTCTGACAAAACCCTGTGTTGAGTTTTCTACTCTGTGTTGACTCTGTACCCAAATGCACACATTTGCATTCCAAATGTGTTGAACTACAACTCCCATTATCCCTGGCCATTGGTTACGCTGGGCAGGTATGGTGGGAGTTGGAATCCAAAACGTCTGGAGGGTGCCAAGATGGAAAGGCTTTTCTAGGAAGAGGGCAAACCCAAATATCTTGACTAAAATAACCCACTCGCTCAACTACCAGGGATGGGAAGGTTTTGTAGAACTACAGGATACTGACATGGAGTAGTAATTGTGGTTTACTCAGAGTAGACCCATTGAAACGAATGGTCCTTAGTTATGTTCATTAATTTCACTGGGTCTTCTTCACCCATGGAAATGTCCTGACTCAAGGCTCACCTGGAAAAAGCTTTCCACATGCTCCTGAGGTGCTTCTTCTCGCATGGCTGGGTAAGTGTATTTGCCCATCATGTCATAAATGGATTTCATTATGTCCAGCATTTCCTGCAAGACAAGAGCACAAAAAGAATGGCCAGCAGAAATCAGATCTTGATTGTGGGCTGAGGGAGATTCATAAGAAAGTGGACAACAAGCAGGAGAGCCCAGTATCTACCATTGGTACCATTGACTCCATCTCCCTCTATATGTACCTCTTTGGTGATACAGCCATCTTTGTTCAGGTCATAGAGGTTGAAGGCCCAGTTGAGCCGATCATCTATAGTACCACGTAGAATAATAGATAAGCCAGCCACAAAATCCTGCAGGGGAATGGAATGAAAAAAGAAAAAGGCTGGGGTGGGGTGAAGAAACAATCAAGTCTAGCTTAAAGTGCCATGAAGGCTTGAGATTTAAGCAAAGCAGATTCTGGATGTGGAGGGGACCCAATGGCAACAAACTGCAAAGAGCAATTCACAGAGTAAAAAAACCCACCTGGGGAAAGAATTACTGAGAATCTGATTGTTTAATACCCTAGAGCAGGGGTGGGGAGCCTATGACCCTCCAAATGCTGCTGGACTACAACTCCTATCATCCCATCCCATTGGCCAAGCTGCCCGGGGCTGATCAGAACTGGAATCCCAACAACATCGGAAGGGTTCCTCACGCCTGACTTAAGAGCTTTCCTGCTGATCTTCCTGCTTCAACCTTCATGATTATTTTTGACAACAGAATTTGAAATTAGAACAAGAGAAAATGGTGAAGTATTCTCAGGCAATCTGTCAGCATAACATTTATTTATTCATTCATTCATTTAAATTTGTTTCCATTAGGGCAGCCATTCCATTGGCTTTATTTAAGTGTGTAGTCTGAGGAAGTTTCAGATATCTAGTACATAATTACTTTATATTTTTTAACTTATTGCTACCCACCCTAAGCTTGAATCTTGAAGTAAAAAGATCTACAGAGTGTACTTGAGAGGAGAGAAATATAAATACACACAAATGAAAGTTCACAAAACTTTTGAGAAAATCAATAGGTAAGAGAGAGAAAGCTGTTGTGGTTGTTCACTGGAGACAGTGGGAAAGATGCCTTCCTCAGGTAGGATGTCTGTGTTTTTTTATGTCATTTGCCCTCACTCTACTTAGCAAAGAGCTCAGAAAGGCAGGTCCATGCACTTCTACCAGGTGGCCTCACTGACCTGAGTTGCAGGGTTTAGGTGCATAGACTGAAAGTGGAGAAATAATTGTGAGATTTTAGGATCTGTGGAGCTGTAGGCCATGGTGTTGCCTGAACATGCTGGGAATCGACCAGGGTTGTTTTGCATGCAAAGCAGATGCTCTACTACTGAATTACCACCCTGTGTTTAAGAACTTATCTGGTACTCATAGGTGGCAAGGAATGTCTTAAAAAAATAAATTTATATCCTGCCCTTCTTCCCAAAGGGCAGCATACACATCAGTGATAAAAGTACACAATTAAAACACCTGAAAAACTGCACACAGGTGAGCAGTGGTGGAGGAACTGTGTGTTCCATCTCTCCCCTGCACTCAGCATAGAAACCAAGTAGGCTGTAAGAAGAGGGAAGTGCCCTTCTCTGCTTAGAAATGCTGTGGGCTGCTAGAGAAACAATATTGTAAGCCTACTTATTGTGGGCTTGTTTGCAATGCCAGAAGCATTGTTTTTATTCTGTGAAACACCCAGTCAAGGTTTGTTATAAAAGTTGCTCTATAAATAACATACCACGGAATTAAAAGATGCCTGCTTCTTGGGAGAAAAGCAATGACAAACCTAGACAGCATCTTAAAAAGCAAAGACATCACCTTGCCAACAAAGGTCCGTATAGTTAAAGCTATGGTTTTTCCAGTAGTGATGTATGGAAGTGAGAGCTGGACCATAAAGAAGGCTGATCGCCGAAGAATTGATGCTTTTGAATTATGGTGCTGGAGGAGATTCTTGAGAGTCCCATGGTCTGCAAGAGGATCAAACCTATCCATTCTTAAGGAAATCAGCCCTGAGTGCTCACTGGCAGGACAGCTCCTGAAGCTGAGACTCCAATACTTTGGCCACCTTATGAGAAGAGAAGACTCCCTGGAAAAGACCCTGATGTTGGGAAAGATGGAGGGCACAAGGAGAAGGGGACGACAGAGGACGAGATGGTTGGATAGTGTTCTCGAAGCTACATGAGTTTGACCAAACTGCGGGAGGCAGTGGAAGACAGGAGTGCCTGGCATGCTCTGGTCCATGGGGTCCCGAAGAGTCGGACACGACTAAACGACTAAACAACAACAAAAATAACTGCATGTAGAATCTTACCTCAAAACTGACTGAGCCATCATGGTCAGTGTCAAATGCGTTGAAAAGGAAAGTTGCATATGTACTGGAATCTGAAAAGAAGTGCATCACAGTAAATGATTAGGAGGCCTTTTACCAGATGTCAACAAACCAACCGAATCGCAGGCAGAGAACAACCAGAGAAAGTGACTATAAGTTCAGCTTTTGGAAATACTTTATCAAGTGCCAGGAAATTATTGTTGCTTCCCCTTAGACACAGATATCTTATTTATTTATGGCAATATTTATTGTCTGCCCTTCTCTAATAAAGTATACTCAAGGCAGCTTACAAATAAAAACATATTATCATGATAAAGAACAGTCCTGGCACTTAACAAGAAAAGCCTGTTCAAGTAAAATGGTCTTAAAAGCCTGTTTAAAATTGAGCAAAGAGGAAGCCATATTTAACTACAAAGATGTGTCATGGACCGTTCTCTTGGGCAAGGAGCTGTGCTTGGCACAGCAGGCAGGGAAGCTATGGGCAGCTGAAGATGACTGTGCCAAGGCCCTCAAGAATATATCCCAAATTATTTCTAGCAGCCGCCAAGCCACTCACTGTCCTTATCTGGCCTCCCAGTTCCTCCAAAAGATCTCAGCTGGGAGTGGCACTCACCTCCCTGTGGGAAGAATTGTGAGTAGATCTGCTTGAAGCTCTCTTCATTAACAATGCCACTAGGGCACTCCTGTCAAATGGAAAAGTGCAGACAAGTTCACCTTGGAAGAGCTAGTCTAAACAATACCCCAGAGTAGGGCCAGTGTGGTGAGGTGTGTCATCAAAGAGGACTTTGAGGAGCTGACTCTCATAACCAAATGACAGAAAGCAGATCACCTCCTAGGGGAAAACTTGAGCAGTGTCTTCTCAGGCTGCGGGTGATCCCACTGTACACGGCTGTGTGTGTGTGTGTGTGTGTGTGTGTGTAAGTAAGTAAGCAAGCACGTAAGTAAAACAAATGCTTCTGAAAGCAGAAAGCAGCATTACCTTATTATCTACTGGTGGTTACACTTGAGATAATATAGGAAGAAATTCCAATCAGAGTGCAGAATATAGCCAGTAAGATATAGCAAGAGGGGGCTATTGTGTAGGGTGCCTCCCCAGGCTCAGAGGAAGTCATAGCATGTAGCTGGATTCTTCTGGCATCCAAACATCACAAAGAAAATCCCTTTGTGCTTTGGAGGCATCCATTACTGGCCTAGGAGGGATGAGTGGTTCAAAAGCAGAAAGAAGCATGCCACCCCATGTCAAAGTGCTGGTGCAATTTCATTTATATGAGAATTAGTGGTGTGTGCTGCTGTATAGACACTCAAGGGGGAAATGTGTGTGAATGTGTGTGTGTGTGTGTGTGTGTGTGTGTGAGAGAGAGAGAGAGAGAGAGAGAGAGAGAGAGCGCACGCTTACTGGAGCCATACAAGAAGTCTGACGCTCCATCTTTGTTCCTGAGTAATGGGAAGCACTTTGGCTGGGCAGTGTGTTGGAAGTGCCTGCCTATAGTCACAAAAGAGGATTTCATTATAGTTATAGTTTTTGTGACTGTGAGTAAGTTACAAATTGCAAATTTGATGTGTAGTGAGTGGATATTTTAAAATATGCTCTCTTCAACAATATGGAAAAGGACAGTCTCTTTCTTTCTCTCCAAAAGTTTTGTACTTGTTTTTTTAAAGCCTAGTATAGGGAAAAGAAATGGCCCCCAAGCAAGCTTGTAAGTGCACCAGCAGCAAGGGGAGTTTCTTTCCAACTCACATTCTTGAAGCCTCGGTACAAGACCTGCAGCTCCTTGCGGGTGAACTTGGTTTGCTCCTGCAGCTGATCCAGGCCCTCGGGCCGATGACAAACAGTGGAGAGCTCAAACTCATCCTCTACACTGTCTGCAAGAAAAGAAAGAGCTTCAAAAGTATAGCATGGACAGAACCAAAGCATCCCACCTGCATTCCTTGAATTAATTTTTTTCAAAGTGAGGTGTTGAATTTCCTTTCCCACCCTGCATTGGCACAAATAGACCCATCTCATGTGCATGTACTCTGTGGAACTACCTTTAGATGCAAGATCTCACACCTGGATTACAGCCAGAAATCAAGTGCTGCAGTATCATCCTGGCCTAGAGGAGGTTTAGAGAGCTTTGGTCAATTCAGCATAGAGCCCTGTTTGTGAAATGCATTAATACCCCCCTCCCAATACTGCATCAAGGGAAACGATAAGTATTAAATTCAGATCAATTTGGATAGGAACCAGAGATAAGAGTTGATTTACACCATCTTCCATGGACACAGGCTGTGAACAGTGTTATGCACTCCTCACTTCAATGCACATTGAGAAGACCAGGGTCAGTACTACCAGGTTTACTTTCCTTTGGAAGAAAGAAATACTTGTAGCATTTTTGTATTTTCTGTTGACTTACTGATATACAAGCAGAGATAATGGAAGTAGAAAGATTCTTATGAAAAGCAGCAGAACCACTAACACTGCTTTGGATTCAAAAACATGTTAGTTGCTAGGTAGGCAAATTCATAATGTCAGGCCCATTCACCATAATCAAGGAAACCAAACTCTTAACAGCATCAAATAAGTGACAGAGGCATTGACTGAGGCAGAAGCAGGTTTTAATTGGAACCACACACAAACTCAACCCAAACACACTATTATAAGTAATCAATCAACGAGATACATCGGCTGTTGTCATGATGGCTGCATATATTGCCTCCACATACAACCTGCCCTCTCCAGTGTTCTAGGACAAAATCCCCACCTTGCTGTCCTTTGTCTTCCTATTCATTTTGAGCTCTGTCAACTGGAGTAGAAAGCTGGAGAAGACAGCTATTCCAGACACAAGTTCATTCACAAAGCAGCCATATACAATTAGCAGCATGAGGCAGAGAGCCTACATTTTGTCTCCTCTATTCCCTTTTGTCCCTGCCTACATCACTCTCACAGTCCTTTTATAATACACTGCTTTGGATTGGTGTTTGAGAAAAGTGGCATACAAGTATTTTATATAAATACTATACAG